GAGATTATTGCATGAATGAATTAAAGTTTTTATTTGTATATTGCTTTTACAAAAATTAAGTTAAAGTAACAATGTAATACAACATTTTCAATGTTGTATTATCATTTTAATTTCATTTGTATGAATGTGTTCAGAAAGAGAGACTAAGTTAAAAATTAATTTAATTGAAATTTATTTTCTTGAAATGAAAATATTTTGCTTATGCTTTTAGTGTTTGAAATGAATTTTGCAAACATATTCTGATGCACTTCTTTTACAGTTGTAATTTATTTCTTTGATTCTAAATATGTTTAATATACTGTATTGTTTGATAAAAAATTGCCAGGAAAAAAATTTAAGAAAATTCTTAGAAAAGACAATTCAAAAACTGTTTAAGAATGTTTTAAGAAAACAATACTGTTATTTTCTTAAAATATTTATTATTAACAGCGAATTAAGTCATAGTAACGACTCGAAACAATAGCCTGGTCATTAAAAGTAACAAATGGGCGATTATTATTCTATACGACATCGAGCGAATTAAGCGACGTGTAGGGAAGAAATATCGAAAAACGGCGAGAATAGGTCAATTCGGCGGTTTATGACGATTTCTGGATTGGGAGAGAAGTACTGTCCGAGGGGGACAAGCGCTCCTTTCAAGATTTATGTGGGTCTATTTACGGGATGCTTTCCTCTGGGCCACGAGATTGTAACCTACAATACCTGGCAACCACCGCATTTCGCTTTTATAATTTAGCTTACGCGCTTCACAAATGCGTTTTTACCTCTTATGATGAATGCTCTCGAAGCTAAAATTAATAGGCCTATGATATATTGTTTAATTCGTCGGCTCTCATTATAAACAGAAAAAAAAAAATTATATGAATATATAATTCAAATATAAAACTATCGTTAATATTATAAGGAATAAACTTATTAATTTTTACTTAATGGATATACTTTCCCAGTAAGAAGAAGAAGAAGAAGAAAAAAAAAATCCAATAACCTGTTTTCCAAGTCTAAGAATTATTCTTTTATATTATAATTAAACTTATAAATTATATGAGATTTATATACCTGTATACTGATCACAATGGGATAAATAGCATTAATTTGATAAGAAAATTCTCAGATTTTCTTAAATTTTACATATACTGTAAGTTCTGAGAAGGTATCGCTATTATTATTTATTTTCGTTTTAAACAACGTTTCGGTATTGGCCTACGTAATTATCGGTTAAAATGAATGGATTATAATAAACTTAAGTCAGCGATTAATATCAAACCATAAGATAAATATATTAATAAGTAGGCCTAGTTGCGAGAGAGCGCCAACAAATATGAAAAAAGGTGACAAGGAAGAAGTTAGAAACTCGTATTTCTTTACGATTGGTTTAAAATATATTTCCGGTTTTATACATTCTGAATAAAGAAATACAGCAGTGATGATATAAAAGTAATTCGGCATAAGAAATGCATTTAATTTAATATATTAACACTATGAAACGATATTATTAAACTTAAAGGACGGCAGAAATCGTGAGTATAATGATTTATTAAAATTAATTTATTTATATTTTAAATTATAAAAGTTAAAAATGTAAATTGTTATAGGAAAAAGTTACCCACTTCAGTTTTTCCAGATAATGATTCGGGTTTATTCTAGCAAAAAAAGAAATAAGATTTAGTTTCTTATTAATGAAGTTATCATTATAAACTATGTGGATTGGCAAATTTATGTTCTTTATCAATCTCGATATTGAAGGAGAAATTAAACTATGGTAAAATTTTTATCATTTATTAATTGATTCGATCAGTTAGATTCGATTTATTGATTAATAAACAAATCACCGTTTCGAAAAGTTTACACAATCTAATTGATCTTTTCAATTTGTTTAATTACTACAATTGTGGTTTTGCAATTATTAGAAAATTAGAAAAGTCTATTTTTACGAAATTGTCTTCTCGTAAAATAATCTACTTTTACGAGAAAATTTTCAGTCATTTTTTCCCTCTTTCTTCTTCTTTTTCTCATTCCAACTGAAATAATTTTATAAATTGATTTTAGTACACAAAAAAAATTGCTTTATAATTTAACTATTTCAATACCTTGTATTATTTTTAAAATCTTAAAATAAGCCTTAGTGGTTAAGCCATCAGAAAACTCTCATAAAAAGGTAGTTACGGTCTACGGGTTTCTTTTTCTTTTTCCTATTATACATAATTAATAAATATTTTTGTAAATATATCTATAAATTTGTTTTGTTTTTTTTTTTTGAAACTCTTCGTCAGATAGTAATTTTAAATTGGCCGATTTTAAACGGATAAACACAAAATAAACATAAATTATTAATCTAATTCGAGCGAATCTGTTGTTAAATATTTTCATAGAAAAAAAGAAAATAATAATAATGGAATCAATTTTTCGTTCGGGATTTTTAATTTACAATTAACGTATGCATTCAATGGTAATTTGTATTAACGTTCTTCGGGTGTTCGTTTTAAAGTTACATCCCAATGCGGTTTTATTGGACTGGCGATATAGATCTATTCTTGTAATGATAAGGTCCATACATACCGCCGTGCCCGTGGACAAAATGTCGATAATCCAGGGATTTTAGAGAAAAGTCCTTTCTTTCAGCTCGGAGGGCTTCTTTCGTGTTTCTATCCTCCATTGAGTTCGTCCATTTTACGAATACGGACTAGAATATAGATAAATTATTACAATCGTTATCCAATATAACGTAGAAAATTTTTACCGACGGAATTGCTTTCAATTAAGCGCATTTAAATAATGATATTCGATGAATAATGTAAAAAAATTTTTTACATAGAGTTCCAATCGGGATTTTATGCGCGCTTCAGGCACACAGGGTTGTTTTTAGAAGAAATGTTGTTAAATGAAGTGAATATTGGTAAAGTATTGCTGTATTGATTGTTATGATGGCGAAAGAAACTTCCAAGAGGAAACGCTTGCTTTCTTTTTTTTTTTTTCTTTTTTTATGATTGACAAATCGCTTATTTGCATCCACTTTCTGACAGCAGCCTTTCAATTAGCCTGAGCGTCGTCAGAATGTCCAAATGACGCATTCTTTGCAAAGCTTATCGGAAATGAAAATCGTCATCCTTCGAAAAAAAAAAAAAAAAATAGGTTTTAGCTGGATTTTGTCGTAAAATCACGTTTGAATCAATTCATTTTGCCAGCCGAAAGAAATATTTTCATTTATTTATAACTTCCCATCGCCAAATACTAGAAATATTATGTTTGTTTATGAAGTAACTAAACAAAATACACCATCAACAAGTTTGTATTGGTTTTTAAACAAATAAGAAATATCGGAATAACTTTTATAACATCCGTTATTATATCTAGGATACGGTTTGAATTATTTATTGAATAATCATGCCGGTGACAATATATTTTCCAATAGATCTTTTTTTTTTTCAAATTAACCTATTTCAAAAATTCAAAATGGTAAATACATCATAAAAAAAATAGATATTTTACCGAATGAAAATTTTAAAAGAATAATTTATATAGTACTGTACATACTTATAGATTAGCCTATATTTTATAAATTTACTTCGATTTTTTTACGTATAAAATCTAATTTTCAAATGTTTAGGGCTTATATACCTAATCAGATATTGAAAATAAACAAGTGAATTACTACGAAAAGAGGAAAATAATTCTAAAAGAGAACAATAAAAAGAAAAAATAAATAAGTAAATTATGATTTTTTAATGTAAAATAATTATATAAATAGCGAAATAATTTTTTTTAATAATAATAAGAAAAAAAAAACGATAAATCAGTTGCGAAAAAGTCAATAATAACGTATGAATATTGTCGCGGTGTTATCATTAATCAAGGTCAATAGGTAGATACCAGAAAGTAAAACTAACGAACTGTACAGACTTATTTGTGATAAGTGACAAATTATTGTTTATTTTCTAATGTTAAGACAGTAATTCAACGATCTACACGTTAAGATAATAAAGCAGAATATAAAACGATGCAGTTTTATTTTACAATGGCACGTTTTTGCCAGCGATGTATTCGATTCGAAAGCAGACAAAAACGAGGAAACGAAACATAAAAGTTGTTAATTGGACAAAGCAGAAGCGTTCAGGCCTCGAAAAGAAAAATCGCTTGATAAGTTGTTTCGGGTTGAAATGCGATTTTTGTTTTAATTAACGGTACCTGCAGGAACCAAGGGGCGATGGAGATCATCGCTCATGCCTACAAGACATCAGACAAAACTGTGAGTTTTTGTTTATGTATCAAAAACACTTCTCTCTACACTCGAAATGAATTATTCGAGCGGAAAATCTCCACTTCCGGCAAAATTCCCCAATCTAATAACGTCGGGTCGTATCCTAATCCGTTTAATCTAAAGCAAAATCCGGTCCCGTTTCGAGCGCGAAATAAAGGAGGGAGAAAGAAAAAAAGCCGTTAAGGTGCGATGGAGGTATAATTATTTACGGTACGGACATTTAATATAAACATTTACAGGAATGTTAATTGATACTGTAAGATAAGCTGCAACATCCATAACGTTTTCTAAGCCGGCAGCAGATTCTCAGATCAGATTTCCATTTTATATCATATAGTCGGAGCAATCCGATATTCCGAATACCTAGCGTGTAGGCGAATTAATCGAAAGATGGGAAAAGTCGTCGTCGAAGGAAATTCTTTAATTCCCATTCGTTGGGGTTTGCGCCACAAAGGCTTAATCGGCCGTGGGAAAAACCGCTAATTCCACTTGTTTATCGTTATGGATCGGAACATTCCGCAGACCGAATATATTGAGCTAACGGTAATTTGGTTTAAAAAGAATAAGAACGAAAGTAAAAGGAAGAGAAAAAAGTATAGTGTCGACGGGAGTGTGCATCCCGATGTTGCTTTTAAAAACGCGAATGCCGTAGTGAATGACGTCTGCCTGCCATAACATTTATCATTAAAAGAGAGAGTGGTGGCTAACACCACCCCGGTTCGTTTGTCGCTCACCTGCCATTAGAGGGCGCGCCAACACAACAGGGGAGGTGATCGGCGCCGTCTTCATCCGCGCGCACTTCGGTCCGGATAACGGGCGACTTTGTCTTCTTCCAACGACCATCTTGGGCCGAAACGTCCGAATTATAACGAATGCACGTGTACTACGTCACCGCATATTATCCGGCCTGTCTGTGACGTCACGGCTGGGCGTCTATCCCACCCGCACTCATTGCGCTTGCGCGATAGTACAAGGTGTCGTTATGTGTGGTGAGGTCGGCACAGTCAACAAGGCGTCATGGTTCGAACTCGTCACTGCTAAGAGGGACAGGGTGGGACATGGTTTCCGCGTGGTCCACGTAAACATCGATACAATCACATCACCATCCGACTCAGCATGGATTTTCAGTCGGCGATGGAGACGTTCGCAGAAGCTTGGGTGGCTGCGAACACCCAAACACCGTTGACAGAAGCAGCTGAAGCTCAGGTTTGTTCAAGGACTAACCTGAATAACCCTCAAGAACTAGTGAGTAGATATGTAGTTAGTAAGACGTCTTTAGTCTTGTAGATACGCTTAGATCGCTGCTTGTAGGCCTGACTTGATATTGTGTTGCCCGGCTCGAAAATAGCTAGGTCAAGTTGTTGTTACCGCAGCAGGGGTGTCTCTTCGCCTGTCTCTCTCTCTGCTCTCGATTTGGGCGGAGTTTTTAAGCTTGTAAATATCCGACTTCGATTGGCAAATAAACAGCCCGAGAAACAGACATCACGCTTTATTGTGCCCGATATCCTGGGCGTTAGATTACTGCCTTCGCACGGATCAGATGTGTCGTGGACGAACGCCGAAATCTTTGTTGTTGTTCGTCTTAACGTTAAGCCGTGGATCGAGATTACCGACTGTTGGATGTCGATTCAAATTGGCCGAGTGGCCCCGCCGTATCAATCCCCCTTCGATCCGGGCTCGAAAAAGTCGATGGTGGATGGGAAAATCGTTATTTATCGATATAAATCCGCCGATTAAGCAGAATTTTTCATTTAGGGACCTACCTGGCGATTCGCTGCTCGCCGAACATCTCAACTGCCTTCGCTTGCTGTTGGTCGTCGGCTTCGCCTGTCCAATGTCCACGTGTGTTTCCGTACGAACGTGGATCGAAACGATTTTATCTCTCTCCGTGCACACTTTGTCCTTTCTTAACCTCTTCACGCTTCTTTAACGTGTCGTACGTCGAAAAATTAAATCACCGACTGTAATTAACGCGTTTTTCGCCCTTCTAACCGTTTGTTATGAGTTAGCTAATAAAATTATCCGGAGATTATCGAAGATTAGTTTTGTATGCTAGATGTGAGCATGCAGTTTTGTCTTTTCGTTTCTCCTATCTCTACCGGCGTATTAATAATCCCTAACTAAATATACCTTTTTCTATATCCTTATCCGTCATCTGTTGTCTGTTTTTTGTTATGTTTCCATAGCCGGGTTTTGATTAAAAAAAACTTTTTATATATTTTTAATCTGATTAAATTCAAGCGTTACATTCTAGAACAGGCCTCCACTTTTCCTTCTTAACGTTTTGAAATCTTTAAATTTATTGATCTGATTGATTGTTACAACTCGATGTTTTGCCAATTATTAATTATATATGCAACAATTACATGCAAGGACGTCAACTTTTCCGCTTTACATTTAATTCTAAAAAAGTAGTTTCATGGTCACTTAATGCTGATCTGATATCACGAAATATAAGTGTGTTCCACACGAAAATCTAGAAGTTTAAATTTGCTTAATTAATTCCTTCAGCAAATTCCCTATTATGTTTTCATTCTTACGTTCTTGATTTCATAACATACTTTTTTTTTTTTTTTTAGGCCTTTATATACAAGTTCTGCTCTTAACTAACTGATGTAAGATAATTCTAGTTTTAAAATATATTTTAATGATATTTCATAAGGTAAAAGGATACATTTGAAAGTTAAATAGTACTCTTAGGATTAATTTGTATGTTGTTAATCTGTGATTAATAAAACGATTTAACTGTAAAATTAAAGACTCAATTTATATATATCAAAAGACCATTATGAGATGGAAATAATAGCTTCGTTTTTGTTGCCATTTTAAGAAAAAAAAAATTCTCAGCAAGCTAAGTAAGTTCGGAGAATACAATTGAACTCCTTAGTGTGAGAGTATATAGCAATATTAAAGAAATATTTAATATACTATTTTTATATATATATATATATGTAGATAGATATTACAGCGATTGTTTGAAGTAGTTTGAATTTGCCCTGGAGTTCTGAAAATTTATTCCCATCCGAAGTAATTTATGAAGTTTCCAGAGTATCTGCTCTCGAGCATTTTCCAATTGATCTCAAAATTAATTGTAAATAAGTACTCTGTTCAAATACGTGTAGGAACGTTACACAATATATACAATTTTTATGATGAGAAAAAAATATTATATATTATAAATTTAATGATTTAAAGGCAATAGAAAATAGAAAATTTGTAATACCGGAGACATCACATTTCTCTATATAAGTTACTACTATTTAAATAAATATAATTACAGTCACAAGTTATAATACGTCTTATTCAAAGTTTTAGGATTTAATTCGGACTTACATTACTTTTTTTTTTTTTTTTAAAGTGTTTATGCTAGATTTTTCAGAAAATGTTTCCATTTAGAAATAACCCATAAGGTCAATAGATGGAGACACTTTCCATTTTGGAATAATTAAAGAGGTTTTTATCCCATCCCAAAAAATTTAACTTATTTGTCGTAATGTATAATCTGAATGAATTTATTGAATTTCTAGGGTGTTCTTTTGGGTCAAGCTTCGTTACCTCCTTCGGCATGTATACACGACTTGACAACAGAAAGGAGAGAGAAACAAGAGGGAAATGGAGAAAATGGTAGTCGAGCCACGGGTTTGAGAAGTCCTGCTGCAGGAACATGTCTCGCAACTCTTGCTGATTTCCGTGGTATAACCACAAAACTTCCCACAGGTAGGATTATCCAATCATTGACGGTCTTTCATAATCGTTTTTACTATTTTTCTTTTCTCTCCCCGTCCTTAATCTTAACGATTCTTTGTTGGGAATTAAGTATGACATCAGTCAATCGTTTGAGAGTTTTATTTTTATTGTGCTTTATTTTTTTCTCCGAAAATAAATTTGTCACATTGATTAATTGAAAACCTTAATGTCAGATAAAAGTGACACTAAGACCGAGTGAGCATAAATTTGTGATTTATAGTATTTTTTGCCCGTGCTAGTGGATCAAAGTAAGATTTGTCTGAAAGTATCTGATTGGATTAGTGAATTAATGCAAATTAAATATCGAATTTTTAAAATAATTTAACTAAAAGTTGATTAATAAAAATGATTAAGAACGAAAGATTACCTCCTTTTTTTTTTTTTTTAACTTGATCGTTTTAATGTGGCATGCATTAATTTTATAAAAAGGACAAGAAAATCTTTTAAAAATCTAATTTATGTTAAATTGTTATCCGCGATAAATAAATAAATATTAAAATAAAATTAACGAGAATAAATAATAATAATAATAAAAAAAAACAAAATTATTATCAGTTAAGATTTGAAGGAAAAGTGCAACAAATACCCTTGATTGATTGTTAAATAATATGCAATTTTTAGGTATATGTATATGTATGTTTTTCTTTATTATATTTTTAAAATCCAGATTTCGCAACACAGTTTTGGACAAGATGGCCAAGTTTATTAAATTTAAAGTATCTTTATTTAAAGATCTATGACGAATTTCATTTATTACTTTTTTTTTTTTTTTTTTTGATTTAGTAGTCACGAAACGAGAGATCTCTCTGAAGAGAACGATGCTGTTTATCTCTTCGAGTTGATTTGGAACTGTTTATAAAGGTGTCGTTAGTTGCTATTGTTTTTGCTCGTAACGGAAACGGCGCATACTTTGGAACTGCAACTATCCATTCACATCGTTTAATGTAAAGATGGATGCATTGTTGAAGCTCAAGATAGGTTGAATGACTATTTTTAATAGGCACAAACGGCAATAAAGCAAAAGAACGCTTCCAAAAATCTGGAAATCGTATTTATAAAAAGCAAAACAAAAAAATATATATATATATTTTAATTGTATCCGTTTTCTAAATTTATCTAAATAATCGATTAGACATTAATTAGAATATTTTGACTCGTAGTTTAAAATTGTGTTATAAATATATATATACACTAGTTAAAAATAAGTCATAAATCACAACGTAAAATTTGGTTAAGTTTTAAATAGTTACGTCTAAAAAAAAAGAGGGGATTTCGTATACAGTTATGCATTATAAAAACGCTTAGCTGTGTGAAAGTTTTATGGAATTTGTTCGTTTTATAGAAAACATTTTATATTATTATGAAAAATATAGTAACAAAATGCCTTAAATCTTTTTCTATTAGGAAATATAATATTTTGTAAATAAGCGTACGTATAATATTTATTACAAATACACTTGTTTACTAGAAATGTGCTAAATTGTTATGAGAAAGTAAGTGTTTTCGTTAAGTAAAAGCCGTTTCCGAAGAAGAATATATGTATTTTTTGAAGGAACACACCATTTTTTAGTTTTATTTTTTTAAATGTAAGTACCGTGTATATATATATATATAAAAACTTCTGTTCGAATTATTTTTAAAGTGTTGTTTTATAGATCACATCTGTTCCTGTGTGACAAAAGCGAGCAACTGCGAGTTGCATTAATGTAAATATTGCAATGGTAATTAACTATATATCTAGTTTAATTAAGAATTTTCTCTAATCTTCGATCGTTTAACTTAGTTTTAAAAAAAGAAGAATAGCATCGACGATTGGAAATTGAACTGTGTTGTTATTGTTATCATCGTTATTATCCGGCGGAACATTTAATTGCCGATTGATAAATAGTTGAGAGAGAGAGAGAGAGAGAGAATATGGAAGAAGTATTCGTCCAATCTGAAGGTTCGTCCGTTTAATCGGTCGGATGCATTCGTCTCAGACTACGCCTGATTAATTCAACGATTTCGACACAACAGCCTTTCGGAATCATCCATTTTTAAATCGCTGCTGCCGAAGCGAATCGGATTTTTGAGCTATTCTTCGCTATCAGTGTCCAATTAGCATGATGCGATCCGGCCTCAAATCTTTATTTTATATCATTATTTTTTAGCTTTGCAGAATTTTCACGGAATTCGTTCGAAATAATTGAAGGATTCCGCCTGATTGTCATCGTGGGACGAGTCGGACTCGGCTTAGCTTTATCCGCGTATACACGCAGATAATTATCTTCAAAAAACGAATGCTAATTCCCCACCAGATATACGTTAACGCAATTATTAAAATGCACTAAACTTCCCTAACGAAAAATCTCTCTCTCACTCGCTCGTTTCTCTTTAATTGTCCTGCTCCCACGCTTCACTCCGCTAACGGTAAATATCCGAAAGTAGTGCGATTGCCTCCCAATACTAACAATTTTAATATTTCGGAATAACGTATGCTGATTGATAAGTAGGAAATAGTCTTTATCTTCCATCTCTCTGGCGACGACAAGTCGTAAAAATTAAAATGGAGCCGTAGCCGAGCACTTTGTCTCCCGCTAAAAGTTTCCTCCATTTGAACAAATCCGATGGCTTAAGCTTTAAAAGCTATTTAAACAGCTAATACTCGATAAATCGAATTTCACTATAACTTCAATTTATCGTTTTTTTTCCCTCGGTGACAACTCATCATTGCCACTGAGCACAGTACAGTACATTAACAGCATGAGTTTTTTTTTAAATACTGTTTTGTGCTTTTGTATATTGATAAGCCGTTAAAATACATTTTATTTTTAAATATGAAACACGAAAAATGTGGTTTATATCGACATATTTTAACGGTTAACACAAACCTTTACGGTTTTAAATATTTATATAATTCGAGATATATCTTACCGGCGGTTTTTTTTTACTCTGGTAAATATGGAAACTTAAATTGAATCAGTGCTTATTATTTTCAATTGCCAGTTGTTTTAATAAGCCACAAGCAACAAATAGAAACTTATTTATGTGCAGGTAAATTACGGATTTTTTCAGAAAATTGTATATAAAGGAAGTAGTCAGTAGATATGCATTTTTAAATTACTCAACATTGAGTGAAAAACGTGGCTTAGAAATAGATGAAACGGGAATACCGATCATTCTGTTAAGTTATACTTACGAAAAACTCTTTAATTATTTATCATAGTATTATGTCCTTCGATTGACCAATGGTTCTAGTTAAGAATTGTCGCAATAATCTAGTTGGCGTCATGCCCGGACCAGTTTTTTGATGACGAGCAAACACATTTAATAAATAAAACTCGCTTCTGTTAGGCGTCAAAAATGGCCGATTTACGCAGAATTAATTACTGAAAATTTTCCAGATTTTTCAAGCGTAAGAAGGGAACATACCGTATCTAGATTTTATGTATAAGGAAAAACGAATTACAGAATATGTCCGTGATTTTATTTTCTCTTTATTAATCTAGATAAAATATAAAAGAAAGTCGCCATTCGGGATTGGAATCGAGCGTCATATCGCAAGAATGAGACTGTATTTGTTTCTGATTGGATACAGTATGTTCCCGGCCGAGAAGATAAGGTAGACTTTCTATCACAGTTTATCTAGCCGCTAGTGAATCCCACCGTTACGACACCTTTGACAGGTGACACGACATGGATTAGGTCCACTTGGCTACAGGATTAGACTCCCTAACTCCTACTTCATGATCTCTCTTATCAGAACGACAAGGCGGATGGGAAATCCCGGAAAATGAAGTTTGTTTTTCCCCACTTCTATCGGATAGAAAGGAGGATTGAGTCTTCTTTCTCTCTTCCAACCGTCAACCCAACGTCTATCACATCTGGAAAAATCGCTGGATTAGTAACTTTAATTGACTTTTTTCGTCGATGCTTCTTCACTCTCCGCTTGTAATGCATCGTATAATGTATTGTACTAGTTTAGTTTTTAAATCCAAAACCGCCTTATAAATGTTTATATAGTCGTCGCGAACGATTACGGAATTGATTCCGTCTCCGAATTAACATTTCTCTGACGTAATGTTTGTTTTGATTGATCAAACATCTTTCACTACGATACGACCTCGAAGAAAATTGCAAAATACGCAGTCCGATATATAGAAAGTTAATATTTTCATTAAAAATAATCACAATAATAATAATAAAAAAAAGAAAGAACGAAACTTGGCTTGAAAACAGATCGCATGCATTAAGAATTGCGATTACAAGGTCAAATTTAATACCTGTCCTTCTACTTGCTTATGCCAGACTTCCGATCAGATAAATTCGAGACCTTCGATAAACCTACGAAAAAAAGAAATAAATAAAAAAAAAAGAAAGAAAAAGTCGTCGAGTGACCAACCATCCACTTGACGGATTACGCATTACCTGTTGCCATGACGACCGGAGGGGATCTTCATCCCGGTCCCCCTTTGTCGTCCGATTACCGATATGGACCGTTATTTCCGCTTTGGCCTAACGGATCGTAAAGACCTAGATCCATGGCGAATAAATAGCGCGGTTCCGATCGAAGTCAGTTTTTGCCAAAATTGCCCCCTCGCAAGAGGACAGGATGTGAGTGAGTTGGACAAGAATGCCTTCCGACCGCACAAACATGTCATCATCCGCTGCCTTTATGATCTGGCCGAGTTTCCAATCATTAAACTAATGGACACTTGCCTTGCACCGATCTTAAACCAATTAATTCGTTTAATCTACTGTTCGTTCATGTTATGTGCTTTCAATTTCCTTTAAGAGCAATCTATTTATGTAGTATTAATATATATATATATCGTAAATCAAATAATAAAAAAATATTTTATGAATTCTTAAATTGCTCCAAACGTTTCCTTTTCTTAGATTTTTAGACTTTCTAATAGTTAAAATACGGATTTTAGCCTATTTTTTTTTTCTACTTTTAAAATCTTACTATTGATCTTACAGTAGTGCTT